TCTCCATCCTTGGGCACGCAGGGAGGAGAAGATAAGATCTACGGGAGAGGAAAGGGCCTTATCCTCTTCATGGGCTGCAGCTGCGAGAACTGGTTAAAAGGACGGACATGCGTATGGGCCAGTGCTGGAAACAAAGCATGGAAATATCTCTAGTCTATCATTCCTCTCTGAGTTTGGCGTCTTTCCCAGTGTATGTTCTGATATCTATGGATGTCTTCAAGCCCTTATCTTGCCTAGTTCCCTTAATTGCTTCAGAGTGGTTTGTGTTGTTTTTACTCTTTATAATTTATAGGCATTTTTAAACGTCATTTCCTCCTTTTCTTAGCTGCTTGTGTGGGATTTTTTTTGTCTCCAGTCAAGGTTATTTGGAGCTTTGAAGCAAAGTGAAGGAATAAAAGGGGCTTCACCTATTTTTGTGACTGTTTATTTTGTATCCCACCCCGGGTCATCACATGTCCCAAGATTATGTGATCATCTTTTGTGACCTTTAGACAAGCAAAATCAACGGGGAAGCCAAAGTCACTTTATTTAAATGGGTTGCTAACTTGCCAACTTCAGTGATTCACTTAACAACAGTGGCAAGAAAGGTCGTAAAATGAGGCAAAACTCCCTTAACAAACATCTCACTTAACACAGAAATTTTGGGCTCAAATGTGGTCAGTCAAGGACTACCTGTACTTATTGTTTGTTGACAGTAGCTATAGGGGAGGGTCATTTTTTTACAGTAAAAGAAATTGACTCCCTGCAGGGTTTCTCCCATTTGTTTGTATCTGACTGAAAGCACATGCCTAGACTGGATGAGTCACTGCTCCCTTGCCTTAAGCATTCTCAGCATAACTTTTGGGTGAGGTTAGCAGTTCAGACAAGGCAGGTGCTGAGCTGCATTCAGTTCTTGAAACTTCCCTCAGCCCCTTCCTCCCTTTTTTTATTTAAGGCCAACCCCCTTTTCCTTCCTTTGGAGGTTACTTGGGCAAATTAGACCTTATAATACAGAATCATTTTTCTTAAAGCGGAATGGTTGGCAAAATGAGCTGTAAATAACATGTCAGTTCCTTTACTGCAGCCGTATCTCAGCTTGGTCTTCTGGGTTACCCTATTCCCATTGCAGCTGGTACTGTGGTATCATCTGACCTTTTGCCATCCTTTTCAAAAGGGTTATAAATCAAACACCCATAAACCTATTCGGAGACACAGGAAAGCTCAAATGATTTGTAATATTGTTTCAAAGTCTTCCATAAGTATAATCTGTTTAAGCCCCTGCTCATTTACAAAGGTTTTAAGGAGCTTAAATAATTGGAAATTTACAGAGCATGTAATAATTCAGTGCTACAAAGCCACTTTAATGAGTGGACCCAAGCAATTGTACATTGCTCAAATACAAATTGTTTTGTAGCCCAACCCCCTAAAATCCTGAACTGTTATAACCGAGACAGTTTAAAAGGGGGGAAAATGGTTGCTTAACTCCTTTTCTTCTCCTATTGATGTATTTTATAAATATTTAAAAAGAAGAATGCTTCTCAAGTGTGCTTACAGATCCTCTCACCGCTTTAAGCAATACCACTGCACATAATCTAGTATAATCCACCATAATCCATAATCCAGATTACGACTGCATTAAAAGCAAAATGGACTGCGGACAACCTACATGGCTACTTTCAGACATGTAATAAACTATGGTTACCATCTCTTTCTTGGGGTTCCAGTTCTCCCATTCCGTCCTAGAAGAAATAAGTAAATAGAATCAGACAATCTTTTCACCAACTTCAGTTAAATAGACATTAGAATTACAATTTTATTTTTTGTCACTGCTCTGCTACAGGAAGCAAAACCTGATAAGTTAGAAGCGAAGTATTGAGATAGTTGTTCAAATTAGCAGAGAAGCTTACAGCTTGAAGCACAGCAAGAAGGAAGTTGTTTGAATAATGATGAGACTCTAGGCCCGTGCTGGCGAACCTATGGCATGCGTGCTGGAAGTGGCACGCAGAGCCATCTCTGTGGGCACGCGAGCCGTCTCCCCAGCTCAGTTGCACTGTGCATGCGTGCGTGCCTCTGGCCAGCCTGCTGATTTTCAGGTATCTGCTGTGCCGTGCATGTATGGGGGGAGGGGCTCATGTGGGAGGTGCGTATGCATGTGCAGGGGTGGAAGGAGCATGGGGGGGTCACGTGTGCATGCGCGGGAGGGTGTGGGGCACAGGAGGGGTCACGCATGCATTGTATTATGGGTGTAGGCATGCCCCCCCCACACACATGCACGCACTTTCGGCATGCGACGATAACAAGGTTAGCCTTCACTGCTCTAGGCAATCAGACTTTTAGACAAGATTACATCTTTTTGTTTATCAGTTATGATTCTAATGATCTCATTTCATTGGATTACTATAAATTCAGTAATTGGATTACTGAATCCAATTTCACTGGATTACTGTATATTTCTTGGAATTTGGTAGCTTTTTTGACTTTGGTCCTTCCAATGTTACAACATTCCTGATTCCACTCCCACCTGTAGTAAAATAGAGACAGCTATTACTATCATCAGTTCCACCTTGACCTCTCCTTATTCGCTAGGAGAAAATGATATATTCTTTCTGTTCTTTTAATATCTTCTCCGGTTCTGGGATGGTCGTAAAAATGGAAGACAACCGTAACATAGAGTTTATTTTAAGAACAACCAACAGGCTATTAACTTAGTCTTGGGGAGGGGGGAAAACTTTTGGCTTTGGTTCGCATTGTCTCATTCTTTTCATGATGAATCAAAATGAAATCTTCAGCATAATAAAAAAAAAAAACTATGTATAAACTTATGCTGACATATGAAAACTGGAGCCCTCTAATAGTAAATGTCCCTCACCCTAACATTACTAAAAATCTGAAACTCCAGCAAACAGTAAGCTTGCTCATTAAAAAGAAAAATAGTTTGGCAGGCAGGCAGGCTTCACCATACAGCTATTATGGATGACCTCATCCCACTTTCTTGGAAGCAACGGCAGCAAGGAGTAGAATATCAAAAGTAGATGACAATAATGCTGAGGGAGAACCATAGTGGTAGAAACCTGTTGACAGATGACTGTCAACCGCTTCTTCCAAGTTGTCTCAATCCCAACAGCAGTTTCCCTATAGATTTTCACTCTAGCCTTTGATGCTTTCCTCTCCTCTACTGAAAGATTTCAACACCTGTGTAATAGCAATTGCACTTAGACTTATATACCGCTTCATAGTGCTTTTCAGCCCTCACTAAGCAGTTGACAGAGTCAGCATATTGCTCCCAACAATCTTCATCCTCATTTTACCAACCTTGGAAGGATGGAAGACTGAGTCAACCTTGAGCTGGTGAGAACTGAACTGCCAAACTGCAGTCCGTTGGCAGTCAGCAGAAGTAGCCTGCAGTACTGCACTCTAACCACTGCGCCACCACTGCTCAATGTACAGGTAGCCCTCGAGTTGCAACTATAATGACCCCTGCCCATCACAGCTGTAATTCAAAATGGTCGGAAAGACAGTCAATCACATGACCAACCTGGTTTTATGATTTTTTTTTTGTGGCAGTAAGTCATTGCAGTTATTAAGGGAACAAATTATTTGCTGTGGCTGCGGTTTTGCTAAAAATGTTTGATTACAATTTTGCTCCCCAAAATGGTATTTATTTCTGATTTTTTTGACTGGGGGGGGCAATGGTTGGAGCTTCTAATCTGGGTCCTAAGTAACCCCCAGGTAGATGTGTTGGAACTTTGATCATTGTGATAAAGATTCTACTTAGAGAATATATTGACATTTGATATTGTCCCACCCCAATATTTAAACAATAACTCTATTGTCATGGAGAAACCGTGGACACTGAGAAAGTAAGATCTTCTCATTCCCTTGTGTACTTCCCTATTTAAGGGAGATTCACACCCTGACACCATAAGCATTATGGCCTGGAATGACCTGACTGCTATTCTTGTGGGCTTAAATTATATTTCTGCCAAATTGTTTCACATATGCCCACCTCTTCCTTCTATCCATCCATCTTCTTTTGCAGTCCAAGCCTATACAGAGTCCCTCTATGAGGGAGATGGGAAGTTTCTAAATAAGATAGATAAATAAATAAAATTCTTCCTCCTTCTTGCCACATGCTGAAATAACATCAGTGTGTTTTGTCATTGCCTTTTGTAATTATACTTTGAATCTGCTTCTTCAAACCCACATAAATATATATTCTTTTAGAAATGTCGGATTTCCTTAAAGCAAACTGTATCAGTGACACAAATGTTATCAATTCCATGCACGTTTACTCTTTTCAAGAAAACACCATTCATTCACTGGAACTTATTTCCATGTGTTTGTATTTAGAATTGTAAACTGATAGCAATTGCTGCTTACTTGGAAGTAAATTCTACTGAAATCAGGGATTGTGAAGAATATTAACACAAATCAGTTTTCTTTTTTCTTTTATATAAATAAAGGGACAGGTTATGTTGCAGCACAAACTGATTTAGCTTCAGCTATTTTTGCCTTGAGAAAGTGTACAAAAGTGAGAATTGTGTATGTATTTGGAGATTTTTGTGTAAAAATGTGTATTAGTGATAGCTGCCTAAATATTTAGGTAATGAGGAAAATTTGCATAGATACATGTATATCTTATGAAAAGAAGCACACAAAATACATGACAGGGAAAACTGCACATTAAAAAAAAATATGATAATGTGTGTGTATGAATGAATATAGTATGGATCTAGACTGATCTTGATATGCTAAGTTTCAAATAAATTAAATACTGAGTATTTGAGCCCCATAGAATCTTAACATGACTGAAATAAGGTTAATGGAAACATTATGTAGGTGGCCGAAGTTAAGTGCAGTGTAAAACAAGAAAGCACAGTAGCTTTTAAAAAAATATTCCTACAATGGAATTTGCAGAATTAAACAGAAAACATATAAAGTCTGATCCCCATTTCTAATAAAAAGTGTTCCAAAATTGTGTTTTTTACTCTTAGCATGACTATGGGCTATTCTCTTGACAGGTGGAAAATTTCCTGAAGACTTTTCAGTTCTGTTTACAATAAAACCTAAAAAAGGAGTCCAATCCTTTCTTTTATCTATCTACAATGAACACGGCATTCAGCAGGTTGGCATTGAGGTGGGCAGGTCGCCCATCTTCTTGTTTGAAGATCAGAATGGAAAGCCTGCCCCAGAAGACTATCCCATCTTTGGTACGGTCAATATTGCTGATGGAAAGTAAGTAGAAGAAAATCAAAAGTTCATGATGTCTGTGTGAGTTATTCGAATATATTGTCAATTGAGGCTACTGATGCCAGTCACCAGATGAGTTAAACAAAACATTTTGAATGGATTTTTTTTTCAGTAGGGTTTGAACACAAATTTTTGGCATGTAACCATTGGCATCTTCCTCTTGCTTTGTTTGCTTTTATATCTGTGTATCATCTCTGTCTTGCTTTTTGCATTCTGTTGCCCTTAACATACTACTTACATGATGTACTCCTATTTTCTCCATCCTTCAGTGGGTACTTGGTTATATGCTGTCATCCTTCCTTCCCAATAAGAACCTCATTTATGCCTTAAAACAGGGGGTCTTCAAACTTGACAGCTTTAAGACTTGTGGACTTGAACTCCCAGAATTCTTCCTCCAGTCATGTTAGCTCATGAATTCTGGGAGTTCTAAGTCCACAAGTCGTAAAGTTGCCAAGTTTGAAGACCCTTGGCTTAAAAGGATGAAGATACCAACCTGATTGCTTTTGATTTGCATTAGGGGACTAGCTGGAGTCTATAAACATGCCATCTTCTTCAGTATTACCCCAATAGTACAGGTAGTCCTCAATTTATGACCACAATTGAAACTGGAATTTCAATTGTTAAGTCATTGTAGTTGCATATTAAGGTGTCATGTGACCAGACCAAATTTTTAAAAACCACTTTTACAGTGGTCATTAAGCAAATCATATGGTCCTTAGTTTGAATCCACACCCCTGAATGAGTGTTTTTTGCTATAACTGAGCAAAAAAACATTGCCAAACACAGTCCCATGACTGCAGGACACTGCAATCAGTCATAAATGTGAACCAGTTGCCAAGAGGCTTAAATGTGATCATGTGACTGTGGGCAGGGGCAATGCAATATTTTACAAAGTGTAGATGCTTTACGGGACAAGCCTGTCGATGGATTATTAAATGACAGATCATAAGTTAAGAACTATCTGTGGAGTGTCAGTTTGAAGTGAGCAGTATTTAAGCCAAATAAATAAAATTAGCAAAAATAAATATTCTTTCAAAACAGAGCCCTTTTTTTGTATACCCCTTTCCCTCTATTATGGGAGAATACTTACAGAAATAGAAAAATAGAAATAGAAAAACAGAAATAGAAAACTCACCGGAAAACTTTTTGAACTGAGATAGGCTATGAGAACCTTAATCTTGAACTGGGTCAGTGAGATAGACAGAGGATAGCTAGTGTTTCTCTTACAAAATCCTCAAAATCTGTCCATTGTATTTTTATACATCTCACCTAGAGTTAGTCATTTCTCCTTATGCTTCTCATTTGAGAAACACACTTCCCAGCTCTCTCCACTTGCTTTGATCCACAACTCAGTAACTGGGAGTTTAGTATTTACTCGTGCGTAGGCTTGATCAATGGAGAAAATTTATTCAAAGAAAACACACACTCAACCCAAGAGGTTCTTGCCCCTTGACCTTCCTGACCTTCAGATAGAATTTCAATCAAGAGCTAGCTAGGATCTTGCAAGGAATAACAAGAACACTGCATTCTAGCAACAATAAAGCTTTATTGGTTTAACAAGTTGGAGGCCTGTACACTCACACATGTATTCTTACTCCTACTCATTCCACATTTAGGACCAGCCAAGCTTGAAGGGTATCAGCATGCCCTTTGTCTCTTTTCATGATGTAGGCAAAATTTCACTTATGTGCAATGCTAATCAAGTAATCATTGAATGTTTGTTTATGTCTTTGGCCTGATCATGAGTCTGGTTTTTTCTTTCCCTTACATCTTGGAACCTTGGAATGTGAGATGCTCACTTCCAGATAATGGCTACTGCCTTTGTATGAGACAGACTTTTGTATTGTCTTTCATTGCACTTTCCAAAGATGATGATGATGATGGCAATGATGATTTTCTTTATTGCATAACATGTGCTCTGTTGCCTAGTATTTTGACTGATATGGTTTCCAGTGGGATATTGGAGAATACCAGTGGTGAGCTGGAACTGCCTAGTCCGACCATTTAAATATATAACAGGGTCTAGGCTTCAGGAGTGTCAAACTGGAAGCCTGTGGGCCAGATGCATCATGTGCAGGCTACGCCCACCCCAGTTTCACGTTGCCATTGCATTGCATCACGTTGCCATTGCATGATGTTTCGCGAAGGGGAAAAGCATCGCGAAACATCATGCGATGGCAATGTGATGCAGCGAGTTTGACATCTGTGGTCTAGGGCAATATGGTCTCCCAACAGCATTACTGGTTAGAACAATTAATCAGTGGAACAACTTGCCTCCAGAAGTTGTAAATGCTCCAACACTGGAAGTTTGTAAGAAGAGATTGGACAGCCATTTGTCTGAAGTAGTGTAGGATTTCCTGCCTAAGCAGAGGGTTGGACTAAAAGACTTCCATGGCCCCTTGCAACTCTTCTACTCTACTCTACTCTACTCTACTCTACTCCTACATTGCAGTTCAGTTACATTTTTAAACACTAGCCTTGCATATTCTGTGGATGATTGACAGGAATATTTTTTGTCAGGGTATGAATTACCTATGTAGAAGAACCATAAATATTTGACTTGCCCATGGACATGCTATGTGAAAAAGATTGATGTCCAAGCTATGCTTTTTGTAGCTTTTCTAGATACATTAGTTCTGCAAGATGTCCGTGTAGTGATTACCAGTAAAGGCATCCGGTCAATTTGCTGCAAATTTGCTGTTTAATAGCAATTCTCATTGCTAGAGCTTCTGAAATGAGTTCCTGTTATAATGAAGAAATATAGCCTTTAAATATTTTAAGCAAATATAATTACTCCATTGATCTTAAGATGTAAATTTTCTAGGTAAAAGGTTTCTTTTTTTTAAAACATCTTGATTCCTATACTAGGTGGCATCGGGTGGCCATTAGTGTGGAGAGGAAATCAGTTACCATGATTGTGGACTGTAAGAAGAAAACCACAAAACCACTCGAGAGAAGCAGCCCGGCAGTCATTGACACCAATGGCATTACTGTCTTTGGAACACGAATTCTGGATGAGGAGGTGTTTGAGGTAAATATTTGGCTGCCAAAAGGTAGCATATTCAATACTGTGTGAATAGAATATCTATCTATTGAAGGTAGAAGATGGTAAAATTTCTATGTGCTAGCTTGTATAAGGCTTGTGGAATGTACATTTCCAGATGAAAAGATTGTGCTACAGTATACATTTTGAAATATGGTTATATTAAGATGATATACAAATACATTTGAAATAAATAGATTTTAAAATCTTAGTTTTGCATATTTAGGTATATCTATATAGATGAATGCATTATTGGTTGTAATGTTACATAAATTTGTCATATTCCTGAGGATCAGTCAATCTATTATTTCATCCCTCTGACACGTTTTCTCTGTTGCTATGCATTGCTACACCATGTGAGTCCATTCCTAGATCACTCGATCTGAAACACCTTGGCCCCAATTCCCAGTCTGTGGACTGCCACCGGTCCACAGCATGCCAAAAAAAGGGCGGTGGAAACAAGTGAAACAGCAAATAAAACTACCCCCCTCTTGTCCATGGACAAAACCTCTCTCCACAGAACTGGTCTCTGGTGCCCCAAAAGTTGGGGGCCATTGCACTAAGTCATTTCTTTCTTGCTAGCAATTACTTTTATTTCTGTTGTTATTTTAACTCTTCAACTAATGAAATTAATGAAAGAAAACCAGTTGTTTCATATAAATCTGGTAGTACCATGAACATTGGTTTAGAGTTCGAAGTCTTAAAGATGTGCAATGTCTAAGTTAAAAAAAAAAACCAACAGTACTGGTGGGAGCTAAGTACGGGTGGCACGGGTGGCATGGGTGGCACGGGTGTCAAACTCATTGTGTCACATTGCCATCATGTGATGTTTTGTGATGTTTTTCCCAATTGCTGAGCTGGGGTGGGCATGGCCTGTGCATGACGCATCTGGCTCATGGGCCGCCAGTGTGACACCCCTGATCTATGGGATGACATCAAACTCACTTTTTGTGACATGAGTCACTATTGTACTGACTGGTGTTAGGGATTTGGGAACTCCAATGTATTTCTATCTAAAATAAACTATATGGAATTTTCATCATACTATCTATCCTTAAATGAAAGAAAGAGAAAAAAACTTGAAACATTTTCATAGTGTAAACTTGTTCAGGAATAGGTTGCGTTTCCAAGTAAGCCAGTCTAAAAGCAGTACATCTGAAATGAATTCGGTTGGTAATATGAATGAATGCTAATTAAAGCACCAGCAGTAGATTTACGAAGCTGTTAAAATTAGTATAAGCATATGGATTGAACAGTCTATTTTTCTATCATCAATAGTAACAGTGAGGCTGCAATTCTGAACTTAGCAAAATGGATTTAAGATGTGGGTGTGTGGGTGTGAATATGTATAGAAAGAGAGAACTGCCAGGAAGAAAGGAAATTCCCTCTAAATTTTATTACATTAATTAAAAAAGGAAAGGTTGTTGCAGAACATATGTTGGAAATAAAAAGCTATTTGGGAGAGCAAATCCTGGGGAAAGGCTTTCAGAAACAAAATAAAGAATAATCTTTCGAAATAGAATTAATATTCCCATTGCAAATAACCATAGTAATATTGCTTTAAAATTCTGTATAGTTGATTCTTTTTACTACATAAAAGATTTTTATTTATTTATTTTTATTTATTGGAATTTGTCAAACAAGAACAAGAATAAGGGAATAAAAATACAATGACAAGAACGATAGGCACATTAGTGCACTAATGCACGCCCCCTCTACTGACCAATTAAGTATGAAGTAAGGTCCACGGAAGTCAATTTGTGACTGAAACTGTGAAAATTTGTAGCTGAGACAATTGAATCAGGTAAAGCATTCCAGATTTTGACAACTCTATTACAGAAATCGTATATATTTACAGTCAAGATGTTTAAATATGTTATAAATGTCTAGCCTAAGATGTAATAGAAGAGAATTCACCATTGGTTTAGTTTAATAACCTTTATGAGCTTTCCAGTCAGCTGTGTTCCATTCAGTACAAATGGGAAGGGGAAGTATGGCCCTCCTACTACTTTTCTGGAATTGATGGTGATGATCTCAAGTATCTTTCCTTCAGGGTGGAATATCCATTGTAGACATGGGAATACTCTATTACAAACAACTGCACAGTTCTGCATGTGTATGGGTTTGTCTTTCAGAACCTTGTTATTTCTTTTGTTGTAACGGGCTGAGAGACTAACTTTGGGAGACAGGAGGCACAGCTTAGATACCACTCTGATAAACAAAGCCTGAGTTCAAAGCAGGAATGGGGGTGGAGTAAGCATCTCAGATGGAACCCTTCCTAGTTATCTGGAAAGTAAAGGCAGAGGACGAGGGAAAGTGATTTCAGATTTGCAAGATTCTGTTACTCTAACTTTATGATAAAAGTAGTGTCAGTACTCATGTTTCAGCCTAATTTTGATTAGCTGAATGTTAAATTGTAATCCAAGGTTATTTTTTAAAAATACTAAATGTGTTAATTCCTGAGGTTAAGTGTGCAAATGCTAATCATGACAGCATGAAAAATAAACAAGTTCTATGTCAGTGGTGGGATTCAATTTTTTTTTTTACTACTGGTTCTGTGGGCATGGCTATGTGGTCATGTGACTGGGGGTCAAAAGACAGAAACTCACTTTCTGGAGCAGGGGATTGGACTAAATGACCTCCAGGTACCTTCTAGCCCTGGATTGCTGTGCTGTTTCAAAGCATCCTCTGAAGCTGTGTCTAGTGCCAAGGTTTGTGGCCCTTCCTTCCTCTCCTTTTTCTCTCCCTCTCTCCCTCCCTCCCATTCTTTCTTTTTCTTTTTTCTTTCTCTTTCTTTCTCCCCTCCCTCCCTTTCTTCCTTCCCTCCCTCCCTCTTTCTTTCTCTTCCTTTTTTTCTTTTGCAACACCCCTCACGCCCCATTTTTGACCTAGTGGGCCTCAGAGAAGCCTCCTGGGAGCAAAATCAGGGCATAAGGGGGGCCATGAAGCACCCCCCATGCCTCACTTTTGGCCTAGTGGGCCTCAGGGAAGCCTCTTGGGCATTGAAAAAAGAAGCATTTTGAAGCGAGGGGGGAATCATCCGTGCTACGCAATTTAGATTAGCTAGAAAGCAAGAAATCTGACAATTTCCTGATGTCCTAATCTAAATCGCGTGGCATAGCTGATTGTCACCCCGCTGATTGTTGAAAATACTGGTTAGGCTGAACCGGTAGCATTTTTTACTACCAGTTCGGTTGATCTGGGCCGAACTGGTAGAATACAACCAGTGGTGGATATGATATTTGAACATGGCATGAATATAAAAGCCTAATACACACTCTCTCTCTCACATACACAAACATGCTGTACATAGACACATATACTTGCTTTTTATGACCCATTTTTAATCCATTAATTCGGGGTAGAGTTGGGGCGACTGGATGGAGCTGAATATTTATTGTCCTGACATTATGTGGTGTTCACAGCAGATATTTTTTCTTCGCAGTCGGGGAAAGAAACATCTGCCGCTCCCTAGCATTGAATTCTCAATCTTCCGAGTGGGAGGCAAACATCTTTATCACTAGGCCACCACATTAGGTGTTTTGTGTGTGTGTGTGTGCATACACACACGCACACACACACACACACACTTATGTACATTGCATTCTATGGCCTGTTTATGAGAGTTGGGCATCCTTTTGGGACAAGAGATTTTCTGTGCAAGTCGCCAGAATTACACATCAGCTTGTGTGACACATGGTGACAGGAGGGACGGGTTATCATGGGGAAGGCATTTAAATCACTCTTCATGTTATATTTATAAGTGTGTTCTGAGTCTTTCTTCCAAGGAAACAAATACATTGAAGTGACTGTAATTAAGTGTTAAGACTTCAACCTTCCTGTAATTACAGAGGTAGTTCAGAAAGAACTCTACTTGTGACTTATACCTTTTGATATTTATTTATTTCATAAAACTTTCCAGTAACTAAAGAAGGTTTGGCAAAAGGAAGTATATTTTTCCACGATTTAAAAGCCAGGAAGAAGGATTATACAGACCACTGAAATACATCTGTGTAAAGGAATCTATATGGGAGACTGAACTTCTTATAGGAAGTATTCCCTAGAAAGATTATTTTAACAGACATTTGGAGGGCATTTATATTTTCAGGCGTCTGATTTTACAAGGCTGTCATATGCCAAGAAAAATAATCCAAGCTGAAAAGATGGTCTTTAGGAATGGATGTGGTAGTTGTTTGTCTTTCTGCTCCCCACAGACTTGGTTAGCAAAGCAGCAAAAATATTTCAGGTTCACTTGGATTGATGCCAGATTAGTTTCTGAAAAATATACAGTTAGAAGTACAAGCATTTCATTACAATCAGCATTATTTCTCTCCATGAATTTCTCACATTTTTTAAAAAAATGTTTGTTTGTTTTCAAAATTTGACCAAACGTAATTCAAGATTTTAGGGTTTGAGAAAAATGCCTTTCAGATTGCCAAAGACAATTACAAAAGTTTAAATAAGAATGCAAAAAAATAGAAATTGTATTGTATATTTTCCATGTCCCTTTTTTTGGCAAGATATTATTTTTCTAAATTGAAATTTGAACTGAATTTAGGGGGCATTTTAGAACTTTTAGAGAATTTTTAGGAAAACGAGTAAATACTTGTTATATAAATTATTCATTTTGGTGAAGAGACTTCGAAAGAGAATGTGCAATGTTGGAAAAGGTACCAGTAATACCCCTCTTAATTATGTATGAAGAAACTATTTATCAGCAGAGAATTATTGAAGTCAAATAAAATTCACATCTGAATGTGAGAATAGTAAAGATAATTAAAATGGCTCTATGGAATAGTATAAGATTAATTAAATTGTGGAATGGTGCTGAATGTTTTACACAATAAAGCATAAAGGCTAAGCACATTTTTTTTACTGCTTCAATGTCTTCTGCTGCAATTTTAGGCCCTGCACATTTAAGCTCAATAGGATTTTATTGCTCTAGTTGCAGTTAGTTGGTGAGGTTGTTTGAATTCCTGCAGTGATTT